GAGAGAGGGAGAGGGAGAAAGAACCGCCTCAGGGAGTGAGGTCATACTACAATTCTTTCTCCATCTCTCCATCTCATCAGGATTTGGGGCAAGTACACACATGTACCTAGCACGTTTTTCAAGCTGCTGGAGCTGGGATTCAGACTGCACTGTAGGCCATTTGGGACTGAACTGCCTTAACCATCAGGGCATAGAACCATACTGCTCTTCCTTTTTGGTACCTTTACCTGTATTGTAAATTGAGACTAATTCAGAAATCTCAAGGCAGTCCATAGCACCAAAGGGCATGATGAAAAATGTCTGCCTTGAAACGATCAATACTGTAAGAGAAAAGGAGTAGGGTGATCTGTGGACCTGGATTAACCAAAGATCAGGAATTTCAGAGTCCTTTGCGTGCTGTGACTCCTTCAACAATGTCCATGGTTTGCAAAACATGTTGATGTTTGTAAACATGTTGATGTTTGTGGCTTAGCCCTGAGATTTCTAGGAGGCATTAACCTTGGACTTAAAAAAAAAAAGAAAGAAAAAAGAAAAAAAGGACCCAATTCTAGGTTACTGTACTCTGACGGGCTCGTCAGCAGCTGTAGTCTGTTTCTATTATCCACAGCTGTGTTGCATTGTTAGCATCTCTGCTTCAGTGGGGCTTTCAAGCCCTCCTCCAACCCTCAAACAGCTTCTGTAGCCGTCTGCATCTCTATGTCTTCCCATCACGTCTTCCCCAGCACAGTTGCAATGAAAAAAGTTGAAATGTTGCTGAAATTACTGTGTGCCAGGTGATATTGATTAAACTTCTCTAGAAGTCTAATACTGCATATGGAAGGCCCAATGGTGGGCTAAACGCCAGACACTAGCACAACACATTCAGTCTATGTGTTTTTACTGAGTACCTATAATGATCATGGGCTGCCCTGGCAAGTTATTTGACTGCCACTTTGCCTCTGGCCTACCTGTTGGTCTTGATTCTGCCACCTGTTTGTCAAGTAGAGCATTACTAGTAAAAATTCCAGACAGTTTTCAGTTCTAGGTTTGCTAAATGATTGCCATCAATGCAGAATGCCCCAGCTGTCCTAAAAAATATAAATAATAAAGTTAAGGTACTCCAGTTGAAAGTATGATTCTTTCTATTTATTTTTTTGTGGTTATTTATTTATTTATTTTTATTATCATCATAATCTTGTTTATATTACATTGAATTGCATATAACTTTAGATATTGTATGTATCCACTTAATGTATACCGACTATCCATACTCTATGGTAGAGAGCGAAATGCTGGAGGACATTAAAGCAGTGAAAGTACTCAATGAGAATAAGACAGTGTGAAATGGGTGGGTGAAGAGAAGAGGATATTTATTTATTTATTAATTTATTGACACTTTTTGCTATAGGTACATGCGTTAGCTAGAGAGATAGAAAGTGAGAAATAACCCTCCGGGGTTATGGCCATGCCACAATCCCTTCTCCTTCATTATCTCCTTCATTCACACGTGCACACATGCACACATTCTCTACATTCATACATGCACACATGCCCAGTGTGAATTATGAGTTGCTGGGTCTGACACTCGAACTGCTATCAGCCATGTGGGAGTCCAGTGCCTTAACCATTACACCACTTGCTGGCCTCGAAAGTATGATAATTTCATACTGTAGATGGGAAACCTGAGTTTGAGTCCTGGCTCTGTCATTGTATTACTTTGCGTCTTGATTTATCTTAATTTCAATCCCCTCACTTGGTAAATGGATTAAGCAGATTGGATGGCATTTAAGGAACCCCCCCCCTTTCAATATTCTTAGATTGGACTGTAAGTATTTAGAAGTTGTTTAGAAATCATAATCAAGCAATTCTGAAATTGGTCTGTCATGGTCCAGTAGAGTAGAGGAGCAAACCTTAATTTCTCCTTTGCCAGGGAAAATCGGACAGTACTTTGTTCCTGTCACCATAGAGCAACTAATATTCAAAAGGACCAAAAACAATCATACTTAAACAGAAAGTTAAAATGAGTGCACTATATTAACACACTTTCCTTCACTCAGCAAGAGTTCTATTTTCATCTGTCACTTCCAATATTACAGTAGCATGTTTTAGCCCATTTAGGTTAAGTGGCTATAGCGATTTTGAAAGCACTAATGATTCTTATATAGAGACTGCAAATACCCTAGCAGAATACAATCAGAGCTTGGCTCTAAAGCTGCAGGCTCTTAGGTGGGCTTAAAGGCCCCACATATTTAGTGATGGTAACATGCTGCAGGTAGCTCTGATAAATTCAGTCATTTTTAGCTCCTGGGATAAAGGATAACTGTAGCTCAGGGATTTATGGGTCCAGGAGCTCCTCTCTCTGCCACAGGGAAGACCAATCACAGGAGGTGTGAGGCCAGCTACCCAATGCTACCTTTATAAGGAGTGGTCTCCATGACAACAAAGCCAGAGCATCTCACTTTTACCAATTGCGGAGCACTGGGGCTACAGACCGTTAGTCATTCAAATTTGAAATAATGTGTTTCATGCATGAATTAGTATTCTCCTTAACCAAAGATGGATAATTATAGTGTTACCTTTCTATTTTTTCCCTTTAACCAATAATAGCAGAATTGATTTCTTTCATTGGTTCATGAAACCTAAATCCCAGATATTATTTTTATTCAAGTATGGTCTCTTTTCATGATACTTAATACAAGGCTAATTGGTACTCTGGGATAAACATGGATTTAGATCCAACTCACACTTATTGAGCACTTATTTTTTAGTAGTTGCATAGGCACTGACAAAGCAATTCATATACTTTATTTACCTTTCAAAATACATAAATGTGAATTCAAATTTAATGTATATTATTGATGTTTGGCAAATAGTAATCACTCCTTGAATATTTGTTGAATAAAGGAATAAAAAAATGAAATCATAGACTATATAAGTCACAAGGATCTTTAGAGAACACCCTGTCATAATCCTTTATTATACAAGTGCAAAAATCATATTCCCCAATAGGGAGTGACTTATCCAAGGTTGTAGTCACAGGTAGATTTGTTTCTGTCTCAGGTGGATCCAGACCATCATGCTCTCTGGGACACAGCATACACTACCTCATGAAAGTTGAGTGATTGGACCAGCTTCATGGCCTGCTCGTTAAGGGAGTCAGATCCTACATGGCCAACCACATGGTTTGAGTCCTGGACTCAGTGGCCTGAGAAGCAGGCTGTTCACATGTGTGCGTGTGCCCAAATCCCAAAAGGAGGGAGAGATGGAGAAGGTATTTAGACATGACCATTCCCCTTTGGGGTGCTTTCTTCTCACTCTGGTGAATGTGTATGCCCTCTAGAAAAAAAATTTAAAAAAAAGAAAGCTGAGTGATAACAACATCCAATCTCTGCTGTGTTGTATCACATCTGGATGGTTTTTTTGAGTGTAGTAGCTGGGATGCCTCTCTGTGAATGAGTTAAGAAACACTTAAAAATTTAAAAATACATTTATTTCTACTTATGTATGAAAGACTCAAGTCAAAAGGTATTAACTGTAAGAACTTTAATGAAATCAGAGCGAGTGAGGCCTGGCTGGGAATGAGGGTGGGGTCAGGGGAAAGCAGCAGCTTGGTGGGTCAAAGTGGCCCAAAACATAATTTTCTCAGGCATCATCTAATACAAGGTGACCAATTCACATTAACCACATTCACAAAAACCCAAGTTATGAAGCAGAACACAAAGAAATGTATGTTGGTTGGTCAGCAACCATCTACAATGGAAAACTCAATATAGAAGGATTAATTATAATCAAAAAGTTCCTTGGTGATCATAAAACCAGGAAAGGGGGAGTCAGTTGATTGACTGGAATGACTCATGACTTTGAGCCTGCTGCACCCTTATCCATTGCAGGTATATAAGAGTCAAGGAGACATGATGTCCAATATTCTCTAGTCTAGGCAACTTCTTGCTTGATCCTGGACATTGCTGGAGACAAACTCTGGAATTCTCCCTTATTCTTGTTCTGGGTTGCAAACCAACTTTCTATTAGTAGTATTTTTTTTTTCAGACAGAAGGGAATATACCTGTCCAGTGTCAACTTTCTTAGTTACAATGACAAGCCAGTCTTGCCTTCATAGAATCATTCCTAGTCAGACTTCCATAACCACACAATTTTAAGGTCTTAGGAAACTTCTGGATAGCTCATTGCTTTCATCATATATGTGTTTTTAATAACTCTATTAAAGGAATCTCTCCAAGTTCTTCAAGCACCTTACTTCATCCCTATGTTTTGAAAAACAATTTAAGACCTAACTTAAAGTCAGTCTGGATTCAACAGATATGTATATATGTGTACAGAAGTAAAACAGCACGATGCCCTCATTCCCTCCTTTAATAACTATAGAGTGAAGCAGGCATAAAAGAGGTAAGAAAGAAGAACACTGACTTGAGAATTGTGAATTGGAAAAGATTAAGGATTTAGGAATAAGATGAGAGGAAAAGAAATAGTTTTTCCCATGAATTTTAACCTTTCAGCTTTTCCTGTGTTTTTTCTTTCCGAGTGTGGTGCAGGGAATGTGATGTCCTAGACCAAAGATCCTGGATACAGACTTAATACTGATGCTTTGGTGAGAGAGGCAAGAAGGATCTGGAATATGAAATGCTGCTAAAGGAGAGAGAATCAAGGGAATTGCCACAGGGCTCAGCAGGTGGTGTGGTGGTTAAGGTGCTGGAGTTCCACATGGCCAACGACAGTTCAAGTCCTGGACTCGGTGGCTTGAAAATCACACTGGACGCATGTGCTTGTGTGCCCCAAATCCTGAGAAGACAATGAAGGAGAAGGATTGTGGTGTGGCCATCCCCACTGAAAAGGGGGGGTGATTTCTTACTTCTCTCTCTGCCTCTCTCTGGTGAGCACATGCCTTAGGGCAAAAACCAAAAAAAAAAAAAAGGAAAGAAAGAACAAAAAACAGGGCATTGTCACAGTGGAGAACGCTAGTACCTGATGGGCAGCATGGAGAACTTCACAGTTTTGTCAAGGGCTAGGCACATAGCAATGGTCATGATTTCTCACCACATCATTATATTTCATCAGTAACTACATTTTCTAATTTAAGTACTCCAGTAAAATATGAATGCTAAACAGAATTCTCTCCTATAAAAAGAAAAAGCAGTATTCATAGAAATATAGATTCAAATCTAGCAAGAGATGGAAACATGAGTAAGGGCCCACTTGTTTTCAATCTCAATGAGTTAACCAACCTTGGAGAAACTTTTTTTTTTTCTAAGTGAGTTTTGTTTTTTCCTTAATCCAGTTGACATATCGAGATACCTTGGTATATATTCCATATTTACCTTTCATTGCACACTCTTCACCCCAGCTAATAATTCCAGTTAAGAAATGGATTCCCTCCACTTCGGTAACATGGGGTCCTCCACTATCTCCTTGACATGAATCTCTACCTCCCTCATGGTAGCCAGCACAGAACATATTATTATAAATGGTGAACTTCGTGGACCGAAGGCATGTGGCTCGGTCAACAAGTGGAACTCTAAGGTACTGAAGAATTGAAGCTGATCTCCCTCTGTTGAAGATTCTTCCCCAGCCACTCACATAGCCAGATCCAAATTTGAGGAAGATGTTAGTGTATTCCCTGTTGGCAATGCAAATAGGTGTTACATAGCTGTTCAGTGTTAGGGGTTTATCCAGTTCTAGAAGAGCAATGTCATGGCTGTACTTGTTAATAGTTGCATTGTAGTTGTGGTGAGGAATAACTCGAATCACGTTGCGTTCTTGCTCTGTATGTTCCACCTCTTCAATGTTATGTTCGCCTATTAAAAAGAAATTTAATTTTCGGTCACAAACTGTCTTTCACATACAGAAACAGATTTTCTAAATGTCCATCACTGACTTCACAGGCAGTGAGGACTAGTCTATACTTTTAATCTTTTGGGGTTATCACAGAGATGGTTCCATTCATCCATGCTGCTATGTCTTACATTAATGATATGAATTTACTCATCATGAATTATTCTAGACTTCCCTAATTTTAAGTATTCTTACCTGTTTTCTAAACACAAATTCACTTAGTCATTAATTGAAATGTTGACTGAAGATCTGCCACAGGTTGAACCAGGCACCAAAGATACAAAGATCAACTGACATGACACTAGCTTTTGGGAGGGCTCTGTCTGGTGAGGAAATGGGCACATTAATAAATAATTTTGTCCCACTGAGATGAGTGTTAATGTGGATACACCAAAGAAACTATGGGGACTTGGACAATGGAAGAAGTTCGTTTTTGAAATCACGGCCCCTCTACTGCTACCCATTTAATTCAGCCACAATCCTATTAGACCTTGGTAAAATATGATGTACCAATCATAGAGGCAATTTAGTGATGCTGCAGATTATTACTGTTTTTGTTTACCTGCGATGACTGTAATGTTAACACCAGGTTTAATGCAGTGGGCAGCAGTTACAACCCATTTTTCATTAACAATGGAACCTCCACAGAATGCATCTCCTTCACTACTCAAAAGGACCTGTGGAAACAAAATTAAGAATCCTACTGCATAATATATTTGATCCAGAGCAAAATAAATATGTGTACTGTGTACAAGAGTGGGCAAAAAGTTGGCTTCTAGGTGCTGGCAGAAAATGGAGTGTTTCTGGTAAGTGTCAGCTTTGCAGATAAATTAGTGTTTGTGGAGCAAAATCAGAAGTCATTTTTTTCTAACTGTCCTGACAAGAGCCACCAGTGGCTCTTGTGTGCCCTGGTGCTCTAGTTGAGGTAATCTGAAGAATGACTTCTTTTGGTGATTTGGGGTCCTTGTTCCTTTGCAAGGTGAATAAGATTCTCTGATAACACAAATTGCTTCACAGGACTACAGCAGGTATCTCTATAAGAAAACACATTGATTTGATGCCTTGAGGCTAATAATTATTATTGAGTCTCCTGTTCTTGCATGGGGGCATCTCTTTGCTACAAGTCACTTCAAAAAAGAAAACTACAGATTTTTCCCAAGGGTCTTTTCAAGTCCTTTCCAAATGGAATTTTATCTAAGTGTAATACACCTATGGCCTCCATAAGGGCTGTGCTCAAGGTAGTGAGGAGTGGCAAGATTCATGCAGTCCTTCCATTTTCCTTTAACCATATTTAACTCTCACCTGGCTGCTTTTATCCTAAAAGATCTACTTAGCTGTGCATGATTTTGGGGCAAAGTGGACAGTGGTGTTTGGGTGCTGTGTTGAGTCAGGGCATTATTAGATAAGAATCTATTTTTTCATCTGTATATTCATTGCATAATCACAGTGGACAATAATTATTTTCACTACCTCAATGTCTACATCAACTTGGAGAATTTCAGTTCCAGAGCAAGCAAGGGCCTTGAGCTACCTTTTCAGGAAGAATGCTGAAAAGTGTGAACACTAGAGGGCACACTCAACATTTGGTAAACTTTGCAGGAGCTGACTAGCTCTTCATGAACTAGCTCTAGGTAAAACTCCTTTGTTAATAAGGGCAAAGGAGTAGTCAATCCTTTAAGTATGGGTGATAGATATTCCTTGAGGCAGGTTCATTTGGAGGCTCTACATGTCTTGTACTCAACCTACTGAACACCTACTATGTCCTAAACACTAAAGCACTAGCCTCCTACCAGGAGACCCATGGTGTTGACTTGTCATAGACCTCTAACCTCCTTTTCCAGACTCGCTCACCCTCTTTCTGGCTGTGGCTTTTTATTTTGAAAAGTTGTAAAAGTATAGAAAAACCCACTTTAAATATAATAAAAAACAGTATACCTACCATCCAGACTTAAAGATCTTTCTACATTTTTGGAACATTTATACAATGTTTATTTGAGGCCAATCATCGTGGTATTTTATGTACACTTAATATTCACAATGTAATATCCTTATAAAGTAATATTAATATATCCATTTATAGATGAATGAACTAAGGTTTAGAGATTGACTTGCCTAAGGTTAGTTAGTGGTGAAGCTAGGCTGTAAAACCAAGTCTGTCTGACTCCAGAATTTTGCTCCTAAGTACCTAGTATCTCTCGAAGTGTGGCCCACGGACAGATTGTGGTAGAGTCATCTTGGGTGCTGTGGGATTATTCAGATTTGTGGGTTTATTAACACATAAGTAATCAGAATATTTAGTGGGTGAAACAGGGGAAATGGGGTGCTCCAGAATATTCTCATGCATAATTAAGTTTGCAAAGTACAATAATATGTAGCCACTGAATTAGGATTTCCAAGGCATGATAATCTTTGGTAATGTTTTAAAAGGGTTCACTCTAGGCAAGGATGGCTACATTTTTTGTGAGGTTAATAAAAAATGAATATACAGTGCCCCTGTTCAAAAGATAGGAAGAAAGGTGCCATTGAAGATACTAAGATAACAAAACTTTCCCCTTTCTTCTACAGCCTCTCTTATAATCAAATTTTTCTTTTTCTTTAAAAAAATTTGCTCTCTAATTTAGTGCTCCTTCTGGCATGGGGATATATGCTGGGACAGTGCAGACTCTCAGAAGGGCCCAGTGCACCCTGCAGATGAGCACACCCACAAGACACTGGGCCCCAGCAGGGGTGGTTAAGTCAGTCTCCCCTTGCCACTGGCTTACTGCAGTGATCAGGTGGACAAGTAATTCCCAAGGCATTGCTACTTCCATGTTAGGATGTGCTCAAAACCTGAACTGGAGATGGGAAAGGAGCTTGTCCCCACCACTCCAACTGTGCTGTGACACATGCTTGACTTGTACATGCCATGTGCCTTCCCCTTCCCAAGATAGTGCAGGGCATACACACCTAACCTCAACTCTCCCTGTACTTGTGCTCAGGCCCCCACAAAAAAAGGAGCAATGATAGTTGAGTGGGAACAATGAGAGGAGTATGCTTGGGAATTATGGGTTGGGAGGTGACAATGATAATTGGGCAGCTGTGAGGAGAAAGGCAGGCTGACTACGGAAGCAGGGAGCATGTGTGTGGAAGGTCAAGAAACCATCCCCCTAGGGGGTGGTAAAAGGTGGGATTGCAGTGATCCAAAGTTATAAGTCCCCAGCACATGTTCTGTTGTTCCATTACACTTGTTACAGAACACAAATGCAAAGCATTGTACAGGATTTCCTCAGTGTTTCAGTGCAGAGCCTAATGTAGGTGGACTAGTCACAAGACCATGTGGCTAGCTCTGACTCCAAGTAATGTTCATTACCAAGCCAGTTTGGGCAACACAGTTCTATCCTGGTCCTGATGGTTACAACCTATAAGCAACTGGAATTAACAATTCACTTGCAGTGATATCATGGTGCTTCTCCTTTGGCCATTGTATTAGAGAGAAATTGGATCTTTCTCATTTTAGTGGGCTAGTTAGGCCAGATTGAATGATATTCACAAACCCTGGCACAGAAACTATGTTGTAGCTAGTCCAACTCCTAGGTGATGTTTACTTGGTCACAGAGGATTGCTCTGTTTGGTTTTTAATGGTTAACTAGTGTCAAAAGAAAAATCTAAGCTCACTTAAATTGATCAGAATTTAACTGACCAAGAAATGGGCTCTAAAACTCAGCAGCCATCCTGACAAAGCAGGTTCAAAATGCTCCGCTCAAACATATGTTCAGCTTAGATTTATAACCAGAGAAAAGGAAGTGAGGTGCAAAACCAACCTGATTGGCTGAAGTTGGTATTCACCTAATATGGTCATGGTTCAGCACCTTTCAGCCTCTGATTGGCTGAGGGATCAGCTGCTATGATTGCAGCTCAGTTGCTAGGTTACCAGGATATATGTTAGGCTACAACTTGCTTCTACATCAAGCTAGGTTACCTGTTCTGTATCTATGGAGACTACTTTGGCCAATGTTATCAACCAAGAATGGAGGCTTGCTTAGGCCAATTTTGCTCAATTTAACACTAGTCATTGAAGTATATTTCATTAAATAATTTTAGAAGATAATGGTCTAAATGTTCTGTTCAAATTAACTTTGTGGAGCCAACTGAGATTACATGTCATGGTCTTATTTATCCTATTTGGAATTATATCACCTGGTTTAGGAATAATGGATGATTACCCTTTTCAAGTGAAGATATTTCTATAGGCTTAAGATCTCATGTGACACCCCTATGTAGACCCCTTCCCCAAAAGGAGGTTCTGGTCCATATATATGGTAACTTTTTATACCATCTGCCACTGGGGTGTGTCCTAATCAAATGGTAAGGACTTGATTTGTGTAGCTAGCTGTACAGGCCAAAAGCTTGGGGAACTTTAAGGATAATTTCACACTTAAGCTGTAGGATGCAGAGCATAGGGAAAATGTTAAAATATTTTTAAAGATTATTTATACCAAGAATAGAATAGGAAATGGTGATACTGCTTCTGTGGACATTTTCAATAAGTTAAAATGATTACATATTTGTAATATTTGTAAATTCATATGATACAACCTAATATAAGGATAAAGAATGTTTAACCACTTGGTATCCATTAATCTAGCAGAATAATCTTCAAATTATTAAATGTAGAACTGAGGCCGATGGTAAAATAGAAAGACCAGGCACTTTACATAACAGGGCCAGACAAATATTAACCCAAAGCAGAAAATGTGGGAGGAGTTCTTGGGACCAATGTGTACATACTCAGAATTCTCTGACAGCAGGGTTATGGGGATGGGACCAAAACCAAGTTAAGGCTCAGAAAGCCAAAACATGATGTTGCTTCCTTAAATCTTTCACTTTTGTCATCAATAAAAGCAATCAAGTAATATAGCTGTTGTGATTTCCTATTTTTCTCCGATGTTCAAGAGTTTTCCTTCCTTTTCTATGTAGCTGTATGAAACTCAGGTCTCGTTTTAGTTTCTGACCCCGCTGAAGATGTAACTCTCAGAACATCTCCTTTCTCTTTCTGCATAGTAACCTTCTAGCTTCCTTTCCTCCCTCCTGAAGTGTTCTTTGGAGTCCCTGTTTTCTTTTCCAAGTTCTCAACAAGGAGCTCTGAGCCCACCTCTGGGCACCTGGAGGGAAATCAAAGGCAGTACCTCCTCTGATTGCTCTTATTTATGCCTGACTTGGACGTTCTAACCCAGAGACTTCAGAGGGTGGGACAAGCCTGCCTGCACCTTTTGTTTTGGTGGGTAGGAGCTGGATGGGGCGGGTTGTTGTGGTGTCCCAGAGCCATAAGCATCTTCTGAAAAGCTACTGTTGGAAACATGGCGTGACTGCCTGTCTCTTTCCTCCTGCCTGGCCAGCTAAAATGGAAGCCTTAGAATAAGGAGTGAGTGGGACCGCAAACTGGGTACGCGTTAGGTAAACAATGCTCTGTAGAGTGTCAAAGCTGAATGGGATCCCAGTGGCCTCGGCTCCTCTAACCTCTCACTAGGTGAACAAACGCCCTTGACACTCTGCCATGCTGCTATCCAGCTACTGATGTCCCCAGTCAACAACTCGACAAACATTTGTTCAAACAACGTTTCCTTCCAAAGCTGCCCAGCCTGCATGGGAAAGGGCTTACTTAGTAGAGGACCAAATCTGTCTGCCTGCAACATATACACAAAAAAATTTGATCGAGTTAAAAGTCATCTTCCCTTTTCCCCATGGCTCTTACAAACTGCTCACCTAAACCTTTTCTTTAACCAGCTAAACATTGGCGGCTTGTTCAAACTGTTCATTACCCCACTCTATGATTTTTTTTTACCGACTGGTGTGTTTGTTTTCACCGAATGATGACTTTACCCCTCCTGCCACTTTGAAAGATAAAAGAATCAATTCTGAATAGAAAGGTTTTTTTATGAAGCATCAGCATTTTGAAGCACTCTTTTCTAGGTGACACTGCTAGATTGCATTGCTATTTTGTATTTCAGGACCAGAGATATTTTGGCCACTGAAACCCCAGCTGGAGCTCACTTTCTCTTGATGCCCTGGCCTCCCCAGGTTTTTTGCAGTCTCGCCTGCAATCAAATCTATAGTATTTGCACCCTACAGGTTAGCCATGCTGTGTGGAGCTGGCCACTTCACAAATGAGGAGAGGTTCTGCTTTGTTTGATTTCTTGTTTCATTTTTGTCTAAAAGTGGCTAATGTACAATTAATTTATCTCGTGTTTTTGGAAACTAAGTGACCTTTCATGAGGAACAGTGTGGAGAAACCATTTTCTGGTAAGGAAGGAAACAATGCTGAAATATGACAGGATCCCTCGCAGATATCCTAGAAAGTAGCCTCGTTTCTCAGCCTTGAGAAAGGATAAAGCCTCATGCTTTGTACATCTACAGTCAGCAATCTTGGTTCATATGGATGAGGTAGGAAGTGAATATTTGAGTACATATGTGCAGATATATGTGTGAGTGATCTTGAACATTCCAGATGATCTCAGCTAGGAAAAAGACAACAGGTACAATAACTGTGTGGTGCAAAGGATATGAAAGAGTTTCAGTGATGTGCATCATTTATATCTTCTTCCTCACAGAAAAGACTGCAGCCACCGTTAATTGACTCTTGTGCTTAAAAAGAAAATGCATGTCTGCAAAGCCCACCGAAATTGTATTTTAGGAAATAATCTGCTTTGATAATACATGGGCAAGCATCTAGTTTAAAGGGGGTTGGTGGGAAACAATTATGACTAAGACTATCCCTACCCCCTTTAGTTCTCATTTAAGTACATATGTCAGTTCGTTTCTAGGATGACAAAGGGACAATGCTAAATGCACAATGCACGTATCCTGAGATATTTTTAAATTCTGGGGTTTTATAAAGGGAAATCATCGTCTTAGCTAATAATACATTCCTGTGTTTCAGTGGCTCCTCCATTGTAATCACTGCCCTTTGTCCCATGAGCCCATAGAAAATATTTGTCATAAAGCAGATCTCTTTGGTAACTACCTTATCTATGGAAGTTAAATAGATAATGAGTTAAAATGCATGAGAACACAAACAACAAGTTTAGAATTAGATACATGCATGCTAGATAGAATGAAAGCCTAAAGTGTCAGTGCTCAAGAATTGTTCATGGAAAGGTTGTTGTAGGTTAATTTTATGAAGAGTTGAGAGGAAGAGTGAAGATGTGGGTGAGTGAATGAAGAGGTTGTGGTCGGTGAGAGAAGCAGCTGTGTAATGTCCAGAAATGGTGTAAAGAGATACACACCATATTTTATTGACTAGCAGATCGGGTCCAACAATTATGTTGAAATAGTCACTTTGCAAACTAAGTAACATATGTGATTGAATGTATAAAAGAAATTGAAATAACAAAGGAAAATATTTTAAAGTTTTGGAAGTGATATTTTGCCACCTCTCAAATCCACTCTCCATACTATGTGAATCTCCCCTCACTCTCCTCAGGTATGTTCAATACCTATGTCCAACATACTGGGAAATGGCAGGCATTCTGAAGAATCCTGGATAGATCCATAGCTACTCTTGGAAAATTCTAGTGGTGTGAAACTTGGAGACATTACCTGATCCTGGCTTAAACTGTTACTTGTTTGATTGCAAAGTCTTTAAAGCTATTGGTCTCTCATGGCAAAAATTCAAACCTCAATAGAGAAAATCGTTTAGAGTGAAGCACCCTTGAAATCAGTACCAAATCATGACTATGGTCAACTAGGGAGTTATAAGTTAGATGAAAGTGTTACAAGCACTACCCAATAGAAATTTCTGTGGCGATTGAAGTGTTTTATCTACACCTGCACTGTCCAGTACAGTAGGCCACTAGTCACATATGGCTATTGTGTATTTTAATTGTGGCAGGTGGAAATGAGGAATTAAACTTTCAGTTTTAGGCTCAGCCTGGTGGTGCAGTTGATGGATACTTAACTGCAGTGCTGGAGGCCACGTGGTTTGTATGAGCTATACTGAGCCCACGTGCCCAGGGCTCTGATGAGCTGGAGGCCTGGGGAGAGGACATCACATGTGACAAGATCCTGTTGAGGGTCCTTCTCTCTTTTGCATGCACATGCTAGTGCCCTCTGCCCTGAATAAATAACTTAGAAAAATTTAAATTTCATTTAACTGTAGTTAATTTTAAATAGCCAGGGCCAGCTGGTGGTGTGGTAATTAAGACAGCCAGATCTCACATGGTTGATTGTGTGGTTTAAGTCCCAGCCCACAGCTTGTAAAACACACCTGGCATATGTGTGCAAGCCTGACATCCTGAAAGGAAGGAGAGATGGAGAAGGGATTGCCATATAACCATCCCCAATGAGGGGTGCTTTCTTTCTCTCTCTCTCATGTGAGTGCATATGCCTTCTCGGGAAACTATTAAAAAATTAAATAATCACATATGTCCAGATTGCCTTATTGGACTTTTTATAAAGACCAGCCGTGCTTCTTACCTGGAGGGGTGAGCACATTCCTTGCCACAGATGGACTCACTTAGGCTTTAGATATAGGTTCAGTTATAACAGGTTTTGCTACAAATATAGCTCTTCAACGTTATATTAAAATGTGCATATATGGATTATGTGCAGACCACACTTGGGAGACTAGTACTACTGAGTTCATTATTTATTGTTTTGAACCCTGGCTTTTGTAACAAGTTTGTTTCCTTTAGTCTTATGGGTTTCAAACTGTAGTGTGAAGCAGAATCACTCTGGAGGGCTTATTTGCACACACATTGCTGGGCCTCACCCCTAGGAATTCTGATTCAGTTGGTCTGGGGTGGAGCATAGTAATTTGCATTCCTAGCAAGTTTCCAGGTGATTCACATGCTACCACACTTTGAGACCAGCTGCGGACCAAGCTCCTATTGTATAGCATGGTTCCAGGAATCTAGTTATTGCCTCAATCTTTCCCACATGAGTCCTTTTCTCTACCCTCTTCAAAATAATGCAGTTTCTGAGGATGTTCTGACTCTCCAGTTTTCCCAGGGGCTGAAGCTGAAGTAGCAGCCTTAACTCCAGTACCTGTGACTTCACTTCCAGGCTTCCCTTATTGCTGACCAGTTGCTTGTCTGGAATCCTGTTGTGCTGTTTCATTGGTGCCAAATTCTTCCTACCTGCGTGTGGTTGATGTCTCTGGACTTTTTCACCAGTTGCCTACCCACCTGTGGTGGCTTTCTCATTATTTAGCACTGAAACTTGCCTAATTACTCCTCTCACCCTGATAGATCTGTCTAGTGTCTTAGCCTCAGTCTCCCTCCTGGTCTGCCAGTTACTTGCTGAGCTCCAGTTTTGACACAACATCAGTATAGAGTACCTGCCAAGGGAATTGACCCTGTTTGGCATTTTCTCCACCAACAATACGAGAGAGGTCATTAAATGATTCATTGCTTTGAGTGATGTTATCCAAAATGGTTTCAGCTTCAGTAGAGTTTTCATTGTCCATATTGGAAAATATAGCCTCAGAGCGTGTGTATTTCATAGACACGTGTGAAACCGAAACTCTCCCACATGGAAATGGCACTAGAAAAATAGAAAAAAGAATTACTATTCTGATATTTCTAATTGGCAAATGGAACATGTGGTAACAGAAGTTGAGAATGAAGCCCATCCTTATCACTTCTGATAAGCTGGCCCATCAATATATATTTTTAAAAGTATAGCCAATTGGAAACAGCAAATGGCATAATGGTCATGTTGATGGATTCCCACATGTCCAACCACGGTTTGATTACTGGACACAGCAGCTTGAAACTCATGCTGGGCGTGTGTGTGAGCGTTCCCAAAATTCTGAGAGGAGAATGGAGGAGAAGGGACTGTGGTATGGCCTTCCACTCTGGGGGGTGATTTCTCGCTTTCTGCCTCTGTCTTTCTGGCGAGCTCATGTACTCTATAACAAAAATCTCTCTCTCTCTCTCTCGCTCTCTCTCTCTCTCTATATATATATAT